TTGTTTATGAATGTGTAAGAAATATTTGTTGGTTTTGATGAGTATAGTTTAGAAAAGATTTATTGTTGATTTAATAGTTGTGTTAAATGATTATACATTGTTCTTGGATGATGGGTTTCGGTGTATGTTGAGAATTTTTGCGAAAATTGGATGATTTGTATTGTATGGTTGGATTATGTGAATTAGGGTTTTGGAGAGTTATTTTATAAAAGAATTGGTGATTTTTTTTTTTTTTGTTACTGTAGTATTAATTGGAAATATTTATCTTGATTGAGTAAAAGAATAATTGAATTTTTTGGGAAATTATGTGTTGTTGTAATTGGGAAGAATTGAAAGTGTATTATATGTTATTGATGAATTTTATTTTTTGGTTGTGGGAATGATAAAAGAATAATTGAATTTTTTGGGTGTTGGGTTAGAAAGTATGTGTTGTTGTAATTGGGAAGAATTATTTTTTGCAACAGGTATAAATGGCGTCTACCGGACCATACTTTGTTAATGTGTATTGGAATCATCCCAAGGAGTTGTTATATTATTTTTCAGATTTTAAAAACTCTCCGGATGGTTCATTTAGCATTGGGGAGAATATATCATTGAAACAATTGGTAGATATTCTTTATGAAAATTTTGGGTTTCGTCGAGGTGGTTGGATAATTGAGGAGATTAGTTTACTGACTAACTAACCCGATGATTCGTGGAATATTGGAAACCTGAATACTGATAGTGTTCTTCAGTGGATATATAATTTTCCTCCTTTCTCCTATGTGTATTTGCATTTAGAGTTGAAGCAGGTTACGCAGGCACATATAGAGGTTACGCAGTTTGAGGATGTTGCCCCTTTTTACTGGGGAGTGGCTGATGTTGAGGGTACGTCCACTTCGCATGTTCGTAATTTTGGCGAAGGGATAAGCTCAACAGTTAGAGAATGCGATAATGAGGAAGAAAGTGATCATGATTTCATTCGCGGTGAAGACGATTTCACAGATGGTACCTCAGAAACGAAATCGGATAGATCAATAAACGAGGAGAGTGAACCAGAATTTATTGAAGAACACCCATTTCCTAGTAGCGGTCAGCACATGTATCGCGAGATGGGTGAGTGGGACCCGACGTGTGTAGACCGGATGAGTATGCCTTACCAGTCTGGGATGGGCATGTCGAGACTATCCATTTGGGTACTGTTTTCCGGTCCAAGGAAGAAGCACAGATGGGTATCATGAGTTGGAACGTTAGTAGCTTGAGGGAGGTTAAGACAACCTATTCGAATAAGAAATCATTCAAGGTGGTGTGCACATCTAACGAAGATCAACCTTGTCCGTGGAGGGCTCGGGTGACGCACTGCACACGGGTTCATGAACTGTGGGAAGTAACAGAATGGACTGAGAGGCACAGTTGTATGCAAAAAGTCGAAAAAAATGACCACAGAAATGTAACCGCCACAATGATCTCAAATCTTGTCATGACCCAGATTCAAAAGAAACTCAACTACAGTGTTACCCTGATCCAAGAGGATGTTAAAAAATGTTGGAAAGTCGATGTGAGCTACAAGAAGGCATGACACGGGAGGAAAAAGGCCATTGATCGTTTGTATGGCACTTGAGAATCTGACTTCGCACAACTCCCTCAGTAAGAAAAAATTTATTAAAAATGTACGTGTTATTTGTCACTATGTTTATGTATTGACGATTACGTTTTGTAACGTACAGGTTTTTTGCGGCGCTTCAAAGAGCGAATCCCACTACAGTTGTAGAGTGGGAATGGCAGGGAGGGGAAATGGCGGCCCACTATCAGCACAGAGAATTAAAATTTATTTTCTGGGCGTTTGGTCCCGCCATTCAGACCTTCCAGAGATGCCCGCCGGTAATTAGCATGGACGGCACGCATTTGCGTGGCTCGTACAAGGAGAAGTTGCTTGTGGCCATTGCACAGACTGCGAATAAGCGGCTATTGCCAATCGCCTATGTTATTGTGGATGAAGAGAGCCGGAAAAGCTGGTCATTTTTCCTGACAAATCTCCGGCAACATGTTGTCGGCGACAGACAGATATGCTTTCTTTCGGACAGGGATGCGGGCTTACAGAGTGCCGTGGAATCATTGGATGCTTGGCAAAAACCCGTTGCATATCACCGGATTAGTCTTCGACACCTTCGGAGCAACGTGGTTACTAGGTTCAGGAATAACAAAATCCGAAATTGGTGTTGGGAGTTGGGTTCACACGTTTCAGAGAAAAAATTTGAACAGATACGATCGCGGCTTTCGAATTTTAATCCGGACGCATACGATTACCTGTTCCGAATTCCTCTGGACAAGTGGACCCTCTTTGGAGACGGAGGACGTAGATAGGGTACTTTGACAACCAACATGACCGAGAGTTACAACAACATCCTGAAAGGTGTTTGGTTCTTGCCCTGCCGAGCTTTGGTACACGCCACATTCATGAAAACTCTTGATTTGTTTGAGCAGGAACAAAAGAAGTCCACGAGATGCAGTAA